GGGGGTGGAAGGGGTACCCGGGTATCTGGGAGGGGGTGGTGTACCCGCGTATCTGGGCGCAGGGGTGGGCTCAGACGCCCGGGTGCCACTGACACTGTTCCCCTGCCCCGCTCCCCAGTCATCAGGCGACCTAGAGAACGATGAGCAGACGGCCGCCATCCTCTCGGAGCTGGTGGCCACGGCCTGTGGGCTGCGGCTCCAGCGCGGCCATGACCCCCCCTTTAAGCGCCTCTCTGGTGAGTGTGGGCTGTCCCTGGGGTAGCCCTGACCCCCACGCCACCCCCAGGGTCAAGACAGTGCCCCCCAAACTGTCCCCAGGGTGGTGCTGGTGGCCCTGCCGTCCCCCGGGTGGCCATGACTGCCAAGGGGGATAGCGGTGGCGCTGCTGTCCCCCGTGTTGTAGGGGTGACCCCAAGTTATCCCTCCAGTAGTAGTGGTCCCACTGCCCCTAGGGTGGCTGTGACCCTCATACTGTCCTTGTGCTGGTGGCCCCACTGTGCCCAGAACAGCCCCGACCACTGTGCCGTCCCAGGTGCTCTCCCCAGGATGTCAGTGGCCCTGTGCTTGTCCTGTCCCCGGGGTGGCAGTGCCCCCAGTGCGCTTGGGGTGCTGGTGTTGGCCCAACCCCTGTGCTTACCCTGTCCCCGCAGTGGTGTTCGGGGAACACTCCCTCCTCGTCACTGTCTCTGGACAGAAGCTCTTCGTGGTGAAGCGGCAGAACCACGTCCAGGAGCCCGTTGCCGTCTGAGACGCACCCCCGCTGTCGCCAAAGCGGGGGACAGTCCCCCTCATCCCCACTGTCCACAGGGCCTCAGGGTAGCGGAGGACCGGCTCCCCTGTCCCTGCTGGCCCCAGGGCCCTGCAGCGACACCCAGTCACATCCCTGTCACCTCGAGGGCCTTGGGGACTGGTCCTCCATGTCCGTGCAGTCCCCAAGGCCACGTGGTGTCCCCCATGTGCCTCGGGTCCCCACAGCATCACACCCCCGCACACACTGTCCCTCTATTGAGGCAATAAATTATGTCCTGGACCCCCCCATCTGGCTTCTTTGCGGGGGGATACAGGTCCACTCAGGACAGGGCACAGGGTGAGATGGGGTGCTCGTAGGGGAGGGGCACGCAGAGCCCTTCGGGGGGCTCCTGCTCCCCCCACTCCCACACCCTGCAACACCCCAAGTCACCCCAGCATCCCCCAGTGACAGACTTGTCTCCATGTCCAGGCCAGCGCTTTATTGGCACACGCGCACACACACGGACAGCAGCCAGTGCGGAGACAAATAAATAACAGGGAGTGGAGGTGCCACCCATATTGGGAGGCACGGAGACATCCCCATCCCCAGCAGGGCACAGGGGTTGGCAGTGCAGGACCTGCCTTTGGCTCAGCGCCCCAAGGACGGGTCCCAGTGTCCCCCATGGCCCCAGGGAGAGGTCCTGGTCCCTTGTTCCCCCCATCCCCCCTCCCACCCCAAGCAGCCAAATTCAAGGCAACGCAGGAAGCTGAAGGGGTGTAAACAGCGCTGGGACCAGCCACAGGACGTCCCCCCGCTTCCCCCATGCCACCCCCATCCCCAGAGCATTGTCACCCCCAGGCTGGGGACAGACCCCTGTCCCCATTGGTACCCCCATGGCACATTCCAGTCCAGTCCCAGTGAAGCAGCAGGTTCATCACCTGGGAGTGCAGAGACAGAGCCCCAGCCCCCTGCGTTCTGCGCTCCCCCCCCCCCAAAGCTTGTCCCCTTCCAGTGCAGTCTCCAGGACGCAGCAGGATTTGTCCATCCCCATTATCCCCCAGGTCCCCATCACTTGACAGGCTCCACAACCAGCACCTTGCACTCCCGCTTGGCAATCTTGTCCAGGGACAGCACCGTCTTCTCGGAGGGCAGGTAGAGGGGACGTCCCACGGGGGACCCCACCGGCGGGGTGATGGCACGTCGCTCCATCACGCTGCCTGACCTGGGGCGTGGGGAGGTGATGGGGGCTGCCCCAGGTCACCCTTGTCCTGGGTGTCCTCCCTGTCTCAGGTGTACCCCAGCCCTGTCCTGCCTGTCACCCCACCACATCGCCCTTCTGCGTGCCCCGCCCCGACCCTGCTCTGATCCCACCACTGTGCCCATCTTGTTCCACGGGTCCCTTCCAAGCATGCCCCAGGTGCTCTGCCCATCCCATGCGTCCCTCTGCCAGGTCCCCGCTGTCCCCGCGTACCTCATGAGATGGCTGCGGGACGGCTGCTGGTGGGAGAAGGACTGGGACCGGCCCAGCCCAGCCTGGTGCCGCTCCACCAGGTCCCGCACGGCCGGGCTGCTGGGGCTGCTCTTGCGTGACACGGGCCGGGCCTCGGGTGGCGGGTTGGCCACGCTGGCCGTGAACTGCAGCTTCAGCTTCATGTGCTGCGACATCTGGGGACAGACAGGGGATGCAGTGACACCAGGCCAGGCCCCAGTGCGGCCCCAGGGGCCCCGCAGCCAGACAACCTCACCTCGAAGAGGCCAGCCCGCAGCGCCTGGAAAGCCACACGGATGGTGAGGGCGCTGCCCTTGCGCGAGTAGCCCAGGTTGTTGAGCGGCGTGTGGCACACGATGGCATCCAGCGCCGCCTGCGTGGCCCGGCGCTCCTCCCCGGACAGCTTCTTCCCTGCAGGGACCACCAGCGCGGCGGGGACGGGACCGCTGGCCCCTGCCCGGCCACCTCCAGCACCTCCTGGCTACAAATGTCCCATCCTGGCTGCCCCCCTTCCCTCACCCCATCTGTTCCCCTCTTAGCTACACCCAGAGGCACTGCCAGCCCCTCCAATCTCCCCCCCGGCCCCTGCCAGGCCCCATCCCCTCTGTCCCCACCGGCCGTGGCAGTCTCGGGTGTCCAGACGAGGCGCACGGCCAGGAAGTCCTGGAGGTCGTTGAGCAGCGTGTAGGTGACAGTGAAGCGCTGCCGGGCCCGCACTGGGGACTCACAGGCAGCCGTCATCACAAAGCGCGGCCGCTCCAGCCGGATGCTCGGCAGCCTGAGGATGGCAGGAGTGTACTGACATGGGGATGGCCACTGTGAGCCACAGGGATGCGGAATTAGCAATGTGGGACGGCCCCGTAGAGCCCTGAGGATGTAGGGACAGGGACGTGGAAACGGCCACGTGGCAGCCCCAAGACACGAGGTTAATGGCACAAGCAGGGGCAGGGATATCTCTGGGTCCCCCTCCTTGGGGCAGGAGGATCTGGAGGTCCCTCCCTGCTTGGGGACAGGGCACCTCAAGGATCCTCGGGGTGGTTCTTACCGGTAATGTGTGTAGATGCTGCTGGTGAAGGGCAGTTTTGGCGTTGACCACTGGATCACGGCCACCAGTGGGACCTCCAAGCCCTGGGTGGGGTGACAATGGGTCAGGGATGTCCCTGTCACCACCAGCAAGAACACTCCCCAACATCCCCACGTCCCCCTGGCTCCCTGGCAAAGACAAACACCTCAGGGTCCAACAAGGACGGTCCCCCACAGCAAGGACCGTGGTCCCACGTCCCAGCCAGGGTCGACTCCACTGACTGCCCCCAGGGAAGGACACCTGGACAAGGGCAGCATCCCTCAGCCCACCGACCGGGACGGTGGCCCCTGATCCTGGCCCAGACATCTCCCAACTAGGAGGGTCCCTGCCCAGGATGTCCCCCAATGTCCCCTCATGCCTGGCCTCGGGGCAGTCAGCCCTAGTGTCCCCCCAGCCCTGAGGGTCCCCCCAGCGTTCCCTCACCTCTTTGGCGTCCTCAGGGGGCCTCTCAGGTGCCTGGAGCTGGAAGAGGAAGTTGTGCTCCTCGAGGGCGCTGAGGGCGCAGGGGCAGGCCGAGCCAGCGCCGGCCATGCGGCAGAAGGCACCCACAGGCACCTCGCCTGAGTGGTGGCTGCAGGACGGGGCGCGGGGACAGCTCAGTGACACACAGGGACCCGCGCTGCCAGCCCAGGGCTAGCAGTGCTTCCCGGGGGTGGGGCTAGGGACACGGCATGGTCGCATCCTGAGGAAAAATGGGGGGCCCTGTGGGGTCTGGGAGGCAGCACGGCCACGCCCCGCCCTCCACCCTAGGGACGGTCCCCCGGCTGTCTCGGCACTCACCAGACATCATCGACCAGCAGCACGGACCCGTCGGGCATGACGGGCAGGTAACTGGCATTGAAGTTGGGCAGGATCTGCACGTCCCACAGTGAGATCTCCTCCTGGGACCAGCCGTTGAGCACTGGAGGATGGGGACATCAGGGGACAGTTCAGGGAACGCTGTCGTGGCCCCCACCAGCCCATGTCACATCCTCCCTGGCTCCACATCCTCTGCTCTGTCGCAGCCGCCCCACAGATGCCACCCCTTTTCCAGCCACCCTGGGACTCCTGTCCCCCTCACCTTTGAGCACAGTGAGGTACTTCCCAGACACGGTGAGCTGGCGGCATCGCACCACAGGCGGGGGCAGCACTGTCAGCAGGGTGCTCACTATGGGGACACAGGTGGTCAGGGGACACGGGACGTGGGGATACGGAGAGAGAGAGAGAGGGGATGCGGGGACGCTCCTACCCTGCGCCTTGAAGGCCCCCTGCTCCTGGCGGAAGACGTGCGCAGGCGCCCGCGTCTGCAGCAGGCTTAGGTACCCACCGCCCTCCTGCAGCTCAGGCGGCTCCGTGTCCCTTTTCCACACTGTCACCACAATCTGCGGACAGCAGGGACACAGGTCACAGCTGGCACAGGTCCAGCCCCGAGCTCCCCCTCTGTCCCCACAGCTCCTCCTGTCCCCCACACCTACCCCAAGTGGCTTTCATTCACCCAGAGGCAGGGGGGGTAAGCAGGGCTGGATCCTGCTCCCCGTCCCATGCCACTACGCTGTCCCCAAGGTCCCCAGGGTATGACCAAGACCCCCTCCAGTCCCCAAATTCTACCTTGCCCTTGATGGACCCAGAAAGGAGGACTAAGCCTAGATCTCTGTGCCAGCTCTGTGGTCCCAGACTGGCCCCAAGATCCTGTCCCTGATGACTGCATATTGTCCCCAACATCCCCTCCTGCCCTTGAGGTCCCCACGCTGTCTCTGAGGTCCCCTCCCATCCCCAAGGTCCCCACGCTGTCCTCAAGGTCCCCTCCTTCAGGGACTCCTCACCTTGGCCTTGAGGGTGCCAGGCGGCAGCTTGTCGAGGGAGATGGTCAGAGGGAAGATGACCTCGTCCGTGGACACGATGGGGTCCTCCACCGGTATCTGGGGACACAGCAGGGCTCAGCGCCACGATGGCCCTCAGCCCCATCCCCCTCGTTCTCCCCCATGCCATGTCCTCCCTTGGCCTTTGTCCTGACGTCTGCCCGCTGCCCCTC